TTCTTGCCTCGGCCATACCTTTTTCCATATATTTTTTACTACTTTTTTTCCTTTGCGAATACCATTAGACAAGAATCTTAGGACTAGTTAGTTACACATATTTCTAGCTATAACAATCATAAAAAATTCCTACCAATCCATGTGGAGACGATAACTCACTTACTACTATATTACTTGATTCGATTGTGTATACTTACACATAATTACGTGCCACAACACACACTTATACACACAATCAATCATACTTAATTTGTCCTTTTTTTTGTAATTATAGCATATGATATGATCATTCTCCTTCTTTGATTAATTCTTTCTTTCTTTTTATTTGGATAACATGAATCGCTTTAATCTCTTGAAGAGCTTGGTTATTTCTTCATCTTTTTTATCCATATCTTCACTAGAATATTCTTTAACTTCATTTGTGGATTTAAGAGCAATGCCAACATCTTTTTTTCTTCTTCTCATTCTTTCTCTCTTCTTTTTCTTTCCTTTGAAGCCTCATATCATGAGTAAGTAACGATCCAATAAGTTTATCAAGAGTAAGAACTTCAAGATCTTTGGCTTCTTCAATAGACTTCCTTTTGAATTCCCAAAACCTTTTATTTCATTGATGATAGCGGTGAATCAATCGGACATAGCTTTGATGTTTTCATTGGGCTTCATTTTGAAATTCTCATAATTGATTGTGAGAATGTCAATCTTTGATTTCTTCATTTGAGTAGCACCTTCATGAGCGATTTCAAGCTTGTCCCAAATTTCTTTAGCATTGGAGCATCAGGACACTATATTATACTAATCGGGCATAAGTGCACAAAATAAACTGTTCATGGCTTTGGCGTTGAGTTGAGATAGCTTTTTATTTTTATTTGTCCATTTCGACTTGTTTCTTGGAAGAGTAGGTGATCTAGCAATGATGACATCCCAAACCGAATAATCGTTAGGTTGAACGAACAACACCATCCTATTCTTCTAATAGGAGTAGTTTGTACCACTAAAGTATGAAGGTCTTATAATGGATTGAGAATCTTCAACATTGTAGAAGTCAGAAGTTGAAGCAATCTTTATCGGTTGATTATAGAAGTTGATAGAGCTCTCCAAGGAACTTATCAATGTTGTTAAAATGTCGATAGAGACCCACTCTGATATCAATTATTAACTTTATGGATTAACCGAAAATTGACAAGAGGGGGTGAATTGACATTTAAAAACTTTATGGTGGAAGCAACCAAAAATTAAACTTTTGCACAAAGAATTTAGAGTGGTTCAACTTCTAAACCAAGTCTACATCCACTACCTTAGTATCCATACTAAGTATTTCTCAAATCAACTAGATTTGCTAACCTCAAGGTGTAACCTTACAATAACGCACAAGGTTTATACTCCAAAACCTTGTTTATATCAAAAACCTTACTTATACTCTCTCCACAAGAGGGATTCCAAATTTAGTAAACAAAAGAAAACCTCACAAAGGCAAATAAGTTTGTAACAAATTATACACACACCTGAATCACACTTGATTAAGAATAAACAAATAAGCTCACAAGTGTGTTACAAAGAATATGATAATTTTAGCTCTAAAACTCTTTTGATATTTGTTTGATCTCATAATTGACTTTCTTATTGTTATCCATTTGAATCTTGGTCCCTTTATGTCTTTTAACATCATTCTATTTGTTTAGTGTCGTTGAAGATTGATTAGAGCCGTTGGATTCATTAATTTTGAGCATTTAATGCTCATATACACATTTGGTATCGATATCGGGCAGTGGGTATCGAAACTGACCATCCTAATGGTCAAAATTATAGGTGTTGAACCACCAGCACCGTGATATTGATACCAAAAAGCCTACTGGAATATTGGTATCAAGACTGGTATGCTGGTCTCAAGACTAAAAGGGTTTTTGGCTAAAAACTAAGTGTTTCGAGCTTTAGAACAATATTTGTGAAATATGAAATTACTCAAGAACACTTATTATTATTTTTCATACTTAAAAACGCTTAAAAATGGTTTATGACAATTTATTTATAGAATCGTAAAATACAAATTTTGACAACTTAAAACATTTAAAAATTCATGTTATATAAAAATCAAAGGTTGGTTCAACAATCTCCTCTTTTGATATAACAAAACATTTTGTGAAAATTTGCTTTAAAATTATTTTTGGCTAGCAAATTTTACACTTACACATATTTATCCCCTTTTTGTTATAACAAAATCAAATTAAGCTTCAAAAGAGAAAATATGTTAGTGTAATAGGAAACTCAAATATTCAACAATAAAGATAAGATCAAATTATGCTTAACATAAAATAATGAAGTTCATAAGCATAAAATCATCAACAAGAGTAGTTTAAACAAAAATACCAAAATAAATAGTAGCAAACATAAAGCAGCATAAAGTACCAAAAGAAATCCATAAAGTGTATAAGCCTAGTCAAAATGCAAATGTCCTAAAACAATATAATAATGCATATTCTTCCGGATGGGGAGGCAAATGAGAGGGAGGTATCAAGTGATGACATATCGAGCGAACATCATTCTCAAGAGACTTCAAGTGAAGATCCACAATAGCCATATGAGCATTCAAGTTTCCAATGCTTTGAATTATGTCATCATACATAATCTTCATAGAGATCTCTTCTTGAGGTGGTGGTACCGAAGGCTCATTCAATTCATTTCTTTCTTCCTCAACATTGTCCGAGAGTTATCTTCGATAAGGAAACCATTCACTGAAATCTTAATCGAAATCTCAATTGGCCTTGTGGGTCGATTTTAGACCGATGACACTAACAAGAGGAATGAGAGGGTCAAAGATGGTGAACACTCTAAGTTTTTCCCTAAAGATGTAACTAAGGATACAACCGTAGGAAAGAGTTTTAATGTAATTTAACCCTTTTGAGACAACGTCGACAAGCTCTAGTTGCTCTTTGATTATTGGAATAACTTTCTTATATCTTCTTAGTTGTTTAAAGACCCCTTTTATATGCCTTAATTGATTTCTAGCCGTTTATGGTTGTTAGAAGGAGTTTGGAGTTATTTGAAACATTAAATATGTGCATTCCATGCAAATCTACATAGAGGTTTAGAAACCACCTAGGGGGTTTTGAAACTCTGGTTTAAAACCAACCTTTACAAAATTTGACCGTTGAACAGGGGGTTTGAAACTGGTGAAGGGGGTTTTAAGGCCAATTTTAGCTACTACCTTAGGTGTTTCGAAACCACCTAAGGGGAGTTTCGAAACCAGGCTAAAAAACTTTTAAAATTATCATTGTTTCATATTGCAAAAATATTATAAGACTATAAATTTCAAAAACATTTTTAAATTTATTTTTGACATTTTGATCCTTAAAAATTATTTTTTACAAACTTGAAAATTCTTGAATAGAATAAAATATTAATTTTACAAAATTTTCAATTTAGTCCTTTATTACATTAAAATCATTTAATTATATTTATCAAGATGTAACTAAGGATACAACTGTAGGGAAGAGTTTTGGTGTAATTTACCCCTTTTAAGACAACGTCAACAAGCTCTAATAATATGATCATGGAAAAATTAGGACGGGTGTTGTTTCTGACATGATAAAACCACCAATAATCGCAAACATGCATATTGGTAGCTTTGCCACCAGAAAGGCAGAAAAACCACGTAATGATGAATAACGAGAGACGATCAAGGAACTCAAGGGAGGTAGGTATATCATTAGGAAATCTTTCCTTTAAGCATATGAATTTTCCTTAAAGGTACCATAATCATTTTTTATATTTAAATAGGTAGCAATGGAAGAGGGATTAAGAGTAAACGTTTTTCCCATATGGTATGACTCTTTCCCAATGATTTTATTAACATCATTTTCCTAATGGACTAGGACAACATTGCTAAAGAAAGCACGCACAAGGTTAGGATTCTCCTTGGGAGGAATGCTAACTAAGTCCAACCAACCCCACGAGACAAAGGTTTCAAAAATGTTAAATTGGTAAACCCGCGACATAAGGAAGTTTGTATCAATTGTACGTTCAGTTCGAAGGGATTTTGTTTTGAAAAAATGACTAAAAAGATCAAGTGCATTAGGATCCCTAAAACAAGCATTCTCAAAGCTTGCAGAGTTGGAGGATTTTCCTGGATGAGTGGTGCCACTTGTCCTAAGATGCTTGAGGTTCGTTCTAGAAGGCATTTTTAGAAAAAAAACAGTGGCTATTGACAAGAGAAAGTTCGTTTGAAAATTTTATCGAACACTTGGTGGACAGACCCAAAATAAGTGTTTTAAGCAAAAATTGATGAATGAGTTATCCTCTTGCAATAAAAACATACAAAATATATCTCAATAAACCAATCAATCTTCATCAATATTGTTCGAAAATTCCATTGGTGTAAATTTTATTTCTTTTTTTATGTTATTAACTGAAATACGTTATTTACAAATTATTGTAAAATATAACAAAATGGGTGGTTTAACTGAGTGGTTTAGATATGGTCTAAACAATTGAGATGTTTCAGGTTCGGAATTACAAAACGTCGATGGTCAAAATAAAAATAGGTAATAGTTTAGTGGTCACTACCTTATTTCTCTCTTTACCCTTTATTTTCTTTCTTTAATATGGTGGTGACAAGTGTCACAATCTTATTGGATGAAAAATCATTAGATTAAATAAATAAATAATTAAAAATATTTTCTAATCGTGTAGTGACACGTTCAATTATTTAATTGGATATTAAATTTATTTTAATTGAATTAAATTATGACTAAAATGATAGAATGCATAAACATTGAGGACAAATATACGATTATACCAAGTTTTACGATGTCACTATCTCTGTTAAAATTTAATGGTCGGTAGTTTGATTGAAACATTTAAATAGTTGAGTGATCTATTGATCAAATCAAAATATTGGTAGTCAAAATAAAATTTGGCAATAGTTTATTGGTCACTCGTGTAGTTTACCCAACAAATAATATAAGAACGATGGGTTGTAATCCGTCCTCCTTGAATCTATTGCCTTCTTTGAAAAAAAAAACAAAAGAAATTCTATTGCCCTCAACGGCCTACGCTTAAGCCTGAAGCAGATCTGGATCTTCTTTTGCTAGATCACCACTCACAGCCGTCGATCATTAAGAGCCAGTTTTAGAGAAAATCGAAGATGGTGCTGGTTTCGGCCGTACGGGATTACGTTAATCGGATGTTACAAGACATCTCCGGCATGAAAGTTCTTATTCTTGATTCGCAAACTGTAATCTAATTTTCTGGTTTTGATTCGTATTTACCTTCATTTTATCTGAATAATTTGTATCTTGTTGTTTCAATTTTGTCGTTAATTCCTAATATAAAATCACTTCAATTGGAAACAGATTAGTCGGGGAAATTATTATGACCTTAGGATAGAAATCTCTGGATTTGATTATTTTTTGTGGAATGAAGTAGTTGGAGGAGGTCTTTTCAATTTTCTGTAGCTGGTTTAAGGATTTACATATAAATCGGGAAGCAAACATGGTTGCCCTGATGGTACACATGTATTAAAATGCTTTTTGATGTTTTTAACCTCTACATCTTTTGACGCCATTGGTTTAAGATTGATGATATTGATAGTGAACTGCTTAAGGATAATCTATCATTCGTTCTTGTTCAAAGTCCTGGTTGTAGTTTAGTCTAAGAACTAGGATAGCAATGGAAGGAGTGGAGAAGAGAGGACGGGGGATTCTACGGTTACCATTTTCTTTGCTCAAGAATAAAAATGTGGAAAAAGGAAAATGAAAGAAAGGTGTAAAAGGAGGGTACGGTTCCCTCTTCCTCCCCTTTCTTTCAATCCAAACAAGTCCTAAATGCTTTTCTTCTAAGATTATGACAGCATGTAACAAGCCAAATTAGAATATTAGGACTTTTGATAGAGATGACCTCTTTCTCTCTACAGATATCAGAATATGTGCTTTGGTCTTCAGTGATTTTTTCTAATTCTTTTTGTGTTGTACAGTTTTAGTCCCAAAGATTTTTTTTTTCTAATAAGTGTTTTAGTCCCAAAGGTCAATTCCTATTCGCATGAGTTGCCAATTAAATGCTGTGTTACAATAGTTCTGTTTGCATAGCATTTTTGTTATGAGAATTGAATTTTAGACTTTGTGGTTTTCATTTCCCCTACTATAAATGGATTTTTCTGGGATAAGCATAATCCTTAATGCTAATAAATGAGTCTTTTGAAAGGGAAAAGATAAATGTGATTTTTATTATGGGCAATTTATTCTGGTTTTTTGAGTCACAGGTTAGCATTGTGAGTGTTGTTTATTCACAATCAGAGCTACTTCAGAAAGAGGTATTTTTGGTAGAATTGATAGATTCCATTTCCAAGTCAGAAGAATCTATGTCGCATCTCAAGGCAGTTTATTTCCTACGGCCTACTTCAGAAAATATTCAGTATATGCGGCGTCAACTATCTAATCCTAGGTTTGGAGAGTATCACTTGTGTAAGTTCTTTGTATATTTCAGTATTTGATGTGACTATAATTTTATTTTACTGCAATATGGCAAATTGTCTTATTACCTGTCTTAGATGTTTTTCTTGTGGTCCTTTTCACCTTCTTGGATTTCACAGTTTTTTCAAACATGTTGAAGGATACTCAGATTCATCTTTTAGCTGATTCAGATGAACAAGAAATTGTCCAGCAAGTCCAGGTACGTATAATAGACTGATGTTAATTTTTTTTTTCATCTTTTTGACTGGATTGTATAGTTTGCAGTTCTCTATCTGGCTCTTTATTTAATAGTGAGAACATTAAAACTACATAGTCTATAATTTGCGCACAGATTGTTATATGATAGTAGTTGTTATGCTAGCTTGAAGATTTTATATGTTTATATTCCAGTTGACCTCTCTATATGGTGAACCTGAGTTTTGCTTAGTAGCACAGTCCTTTTCATGCATCACTGTTGCTATTATTGCATTTTAAGAATATTTCAGAGATGCCTTATACTTTTCATCAGAATTTCAAAGTTTTACCATTATATAATTGCCACCTTTATCTTGCAGGAGTTTTATGCTGACTTCATTGCAGTCGATCCTTACCACTTCACTTTAAACATGCCCTCAAATCACTATTATATTCTCCCAGCAGTTTTGGACCCTTCTAATTTGCAGAACTTCTGTGACCGAGCTGTTGATGGTATTGGTGCAGTTTTTTTGGCGTTAAAACGAAGGCCAATTATTAGATATTCGAGGACCTCTGATATTGCAAAAAGGGTTGCACATGAAGCAGCAGTAAGTAAAAGGGAAATACTAAAATGATTACAAACAGTTATACCAACAATTGACACTAATAAAAATGCTCTAGCATGTACTCGATTTATTGGTCATGACTCCTTCAATATTTATGTCTATGTATATATATTACATATTTAGAATAGTTTTAACGTTTTGTCATGGGTAAGAAGCTTTAAGTTTGTTCCTGAAAATTGGAGTTATGAAAAGGAGAAAATTTTGTTCTTAGTTTTCCTTTCTGTTGTGTTCTGTGCATCTGACAGAAACTAATGTACCAGCAAGAAAGTGGTCTTTTTGACTTCAGACGGATGGATATATCTCCGTTGTTGCTGATAGTTGACAGAAGGGATGATCCTGTGACTCCATTACTTAACCAATGGACCTATCAGGTACATGTTGTGACTCATTTGTATAGCAACTTTTTAAAAGCTAAAGGATGCATCCTGTTACTTTCATATGGGTAGAAACATTTACTGAATTACTTTTTGTAGGCAATGGTTTATGAATTGATAGGTATTCAGGATAACAAAGTTGATTTGAGAAGCACTGGGAAACTCCCCAAAGATCAACAGGTTGATTGCATGTTCTCTCTGCTAGACATATTTGTTTTAAAATTACAGTGGTTTATCTTTGTGTTCTCTTACTTTCAGGAAGTAGTGCTTTCATCGGAACAAGATGCTTTCTTCAAAGCTAATATGTATGAAAACTTTGGAGATATAGGAATGAACATCAAGCGAATGGTGGATGATTTTCAGCAAGTTGCTAAAAGTAACCAAAATATACAGACAATAGGTTCGTATGAGAAAAAATATAATATTTCAGATTTATTAGTATTTCTTTTTGTTGATTTTTACTTTATTGCCGAGTTAGATCGTTAAATTTTTATGCTTTCAATAATATGCAGAAGATATGGCCAAATTTGTAGACAATTACCCCGAGTACAGAAAAATGCATGGGAATGTCTCAAAGCATGTCACATTGGTAACAGAAATGAGCAAAATAGTTGAAGAGAGAAAGCTTATGTTGGTTTCAGAAACTGAGCAGGAGTTGGCTTGCAATGGGGGGCAAGTTGCTGCTTTTGAGGTAGTGTGCATGTGTTTGTTTTATCTATTTTTCATTCTTTTTATGGTTGTGTATCTGTTCGAGTCTTTCGGTTGTACATTACAATTTGTTATTCCATTAAGATATGGAAGACATTTACAAATTTAATGCTATTACAATTAGTGGTTTTGACTTTTGAGTTAGAAACTCGAGTGCAAAGAGTACAAGTGAATGAATCTGAAATACATTTAAGGGGTGAAGGACCAAGGGATTGGATCCTAGAAGTTGCATGAGGGCATTGCGTTTGTTGTTGTTAAGGATGTTAAAAGTGCAGCTTCTTAAAATGATTGAGGTTGATCAATAAAAGCTACTGTTGAAATGGATAGATACTGCTTGTTATCATGTGAAATTGAATCTGATGTCAAGGAGTAACATTTGGTTCAATATCTATGATTAAATAAGCTTATTGTTTTCTCTCTCACAGACTTCTTATTTTAAGAAAAGGAAAGATTTAGTCAATATCATTTTTGGATTGAATTTCATGAGTGTGGCAAAAGAGTTTATGGAAGAATACACTTGGAAACAAAAAATTAGAAGAAAGAAATAGTATTTAATTGTAGTCAAAATATCTGATGCTATTTGTTGACGTGCATGATATAGATTGCAAACCCTCAAAAGCCTGGAAAGCTGAGCCAGTAACGAGCTTCTCTTTAATGGGGTTCACTGATAGGTTATCTGGTTTATTTTCTATTTCTGATGCTGCACTTGGAGTTACTCGGTCATTACATCTTCTGATATAGTGGCCAATATACCAAGGAATAAAATAAAAGAACTTTAATTTCCCAAGTAGATGTCTAGAGGAATTAGGTTGAGCAAAGATGGAAGATATTTATCAGTTACCTTGATTTTTTTTTTTTTTGAAGATGATCAATAGCATGTATAACATTTAACTTAGTATGATAAAAGTAGTATACATGGGAACAGAAACCATGGTTTATTTACAATAGACATTACTCTGCAACAACTTTTGTCCTTGGTTATTGCGCATCAATATTTCTGTTAATCGTTCAATTTGTTTTTCATTTGAATCAGTAGTGGTTTTCTTTAATTTACTGTTAGGGGATATAGGTGATATTCCATTTGACTATTGTGTTTTGAAGATGATCATGGAATAAAATTTTAAATTTTGATTGGAATGATACTTGTGCACTCGACATTATCTGACAACCTGTTTTACATGTTTTTTTGCAGGCAGTGACGAATCTTTTAAACAATGAAAACATATCTGATATTGACCGACTTCGCCTAGTAATGTTGTATGCTTTGCGTTATGAGAAGGAAAGCCCTGTACAATTGATGCAGCTATTTAACAAACTGCAATCTCGATCTGCCAAGTACAAGCCCGGGGTAATATAACGAACATGCAAATTCTTTTGCTTGGGATTTCCATGCCATCCTAATTTTAATTTATCATCTTTTCTTGTGCACATGCATGTCCATTTCAGAATCTGTTTGTGGATTGCCATCCTTAACCAAAATTTAATGCGTGATGGTTTTTTCAACCAGATCTCTTTTGGCAATCTAGTTATCTGATTAAAGAATTCTTTTGTTGGCATATCTATTTATATGTTATGCAGTCTGTCATTACTCTTTGGTTAATTCTGTTAAGAATTTTCAATCTTGTGTTTTCTGGATTAATGATTCAGCTTGTCGGAGGGTGACTGAAACCTCTCAGCTCATCAAAGGGAGACTGAAAACTTTTAGGACTCGTTAAAAGAGAGACCAAAGTCTTTTAGGGTTTTTTGATAAAATTCTGACTTGTTTTATTCAATTCTTAGTTTTCCTCTTATATAGAGAGGTTACTTAGTTCATATGAAATACTTACTAAGCAAGTAATTAAAAGCAACGGCTCCAACTAAAGAAAGACATCTAATAGTATAAGATACTCATAAATAATGTCTTTAATACTTCCCTAATAAAATAATACATATTTTCTAAAATAATAATTTTTTCAAACTAGTTAACCTAATTACTCCAAGTTAACCAACTGTAACATTAGAATCTACAATCTTGTCTGTCCGGATTAATGATTCAGCTTGTTGCAGGGAGACCGAAACCTCTCAGCTCATCAAAGGGAGACTGAACTTTTTAAAATCTTTTCGGGTCCTGATAGAAATTTTGACTTATTTTATTCAATTCTCAATTTGCCTCTTATATTGAGAGGTTACATAATTCAATTGAAATACTTTCTGAGCAAGTAATTAAAAAGAAAGGCTCCATCTATAGAAAGACTTCTAATAAGATATTCCTAAATAATTTCATTAATACTTCCCTAATAAAATAATACCTGATGTTTTTTTAAAATAATAATAATATTTTCCTAAAAATAATTACTCCTATTTCACCAACCATTACAATTCTCTCTATGATGCTGAATCAGTCCAATCATGTTTTAAGAATGATTATTCTATTCTTGTCATTTAATGAGGGAAAACTGATTATAATTTGTTTCCAATTGTGGAACAGCTTGTCCAATTTCTCCTAAAGCAAGCCGGGGTTGATAAGCGTACTGGTGATCTTTATGGAAATCGTGATTTTCTAAATATTGCTCGCAACATGGCTCGTGGACTAAAGGTCTGATGGAAAAGGTTTTAAATATTTGCTTGCATATTTTTTCTTCATTTGCTTACAGATACTTTCAAGCTTTTATTACTAGGGGGTTGAGAATGTTTACACCCAGCACCAGCCTCTTCTTGTCCAAACTATGGAAAGCATAATCAAAGGACGGCTGAAAGACGTGGACTACCCGTATGTTGGAAATCATTATCAGCAGGGCAGGTTTGTTGCTATCAGTAAAGTTTTCCAACTATTTCGAGAAAGTTTGTTGTTGGTCTCTGTTTACTGAACAACTGTATAGTGGATGCCCCTTGGTATTTAAGCTTGCATATTTAGTTCTTTGCTGGCCTCATGTGAAGTTGATGCTTGAAGATTTGAATAACCACCAACCGAGTTGAAGTGCAAATGGCTTGGTTCATTTGCAGCTCTAGAACTGGCATTACCTGTTGCATCACATGATGTCAAAAATGCTCGAGGGCATTCTTTAGTAGACGTGTCATTTTTGGTAGAAATATGTTGATTCATGACACTTGGAAAAACTTTTCCTTATTCTTAGAAAAACTTTTCCTCGTCTAAGATGATTTTATTAATGATAAACACTTGCAAAGATAAAATTAATAAACTCAGTGATGCTTGCTCCACCTATATACAGGACACAGGAGGTAATTATATTCATTGTTGGCGGAACAACATATGAGGAGTTGCGTTCTATTGCCCAGCTAAATGCCAGCAATTCTGGAATTCGTTTTATACTAGGTGGAACAGCGGTTCTCAACACTAAGAGGTAGGCTTTGGATATTCATTGATTCTTATACAAAATACATGTGGGCATATCAAATAAACTAAAACAGCTTGCCTCCTGTTTTTTGATTGCTGAACTTTGTCTAACCGGCACTTGTATGGCTTTAAAATGCAGGTTTCTGAAGGACTTGGAAGAAGCCCAGGTGATAGCTCGAACGAACGCCAATGTTGTTTAAGTCCCATTATCCATTGAAAACGAGAAGCATGTAAGTAAACACTCGTGGGTCTTCATAAAAGGATTCAGTTTAGATGATCGGCAGTTATTCAAGGCGAGTCTCCAGAAATCAGCTCATTGTGTTTAACATGAGACAGATGGTTAAAAGTTCACCACAGAGTAAAAGTAAAAAAGGTAATGTTGACTAACCCGTATTCGTCCACATGAAATTCTGTAATTGTGTTCAATTTTTTTTTTGGTTTTATATTACCGTGTATTCTCATATGATCGTCTAAATAGAAGCTATAGTTGTTTTAATATTTCAACTTTCACTTTTTTTCTTCTCCTTTTTACAGAGATTTTTAATACTATCAATATTCTAACCTAAGATATGAAATACCAAAATTTTGAAGCGTTGTTTCTATCTTTTTTGAGTAGTAGGTGGTGATTGAAAGATAGTATATTTGTTTAAAATACTGAATCATTAATATAGTTAACATTTAACAAGTTAATTAATTGAACCATTAATATTAAATGGTTTTGATTAACTAAATCATTAAAAATGATAGTTAACAGTTAAGTTTATCATTATAAATTTTAATAAATTAAATTTATAGTTATATTTCTAATTTATTATATTTTTTATACAATTAACTTGATATAGTTTTTTATTATTTTTGAGTTGTATATATATTTAATAAAATATGTACATAAATAATTTAATATACGTATATTTTTTATTATTTTTAATTTTTCATCTCTTTGAAAATATATAAATATATTTACACTAATATAATTATATGTTTTGTTATGTGCCAAAATATTTGTAGATATACATATTTACACCAATGTAAGTGTCGAAATCGTTTTCCGCTCCGGCGGAGAAAAAATTTAGTATGACTTGGGGGTTTTTTTTTTGAAAATGTTTTGAAATGTTTTAGAGTCGCCATCGACCTTTTGGGTTAGGTAGGTCGAATATCTATAATTTTTTTTTAAAAGTATTTTTAAGAAAAACATCATTTTAAAAGATTCACCAATCTACGTGTAACCAGAGATTCATTATTTTTTGAAATAAAAAAAAGATTTAGGGATCGATTACGTGTGGGGAAGGATAAGCACCCCAACAACGCCCAAAATTAGTACTCTATCGATTATAAATTGTCTCTACTAGTGAAAATCTAAGAATTCGAATACAAATTTAAGTTACGATCTTATTATTTCAGATTCAACCATACAATTTTTATTTAATGAAAAATTCTAAGGAGAAATATAAAATATTCTAATATTTTCAATTGAAGAGAAAATAATCCCTAAAATATTGTAGGACGAATATTTCTCTTTCCAACTAAAATAAAAAGAATATAATAATTTCTCCCAAGAACTCAATATTAAAATAATGTGATTCAACTAAAATGAATAAAACTAAAATAGGCATATTCAAAAGTTTTAGGTTTTTCTAAATAGAGTTTTTATTTATTTTAAAATATCATAATAAGACATCTAGTTACTTTAAGACCGTCCCTTCTTAATATTTTAAAATAAATAAATACTACCCTTAATCTAATTATGAAATCGATTAAGTTATGCTTATGAAACTTTCATACATATTCCAAATATTTAGATCTATATGCACAAACAAATTTTCATGGCAAAAGTTATAAATTAAAAATACTAATTAGGAACAAATAAATGAAAATTAAAACAATGATAAAAATTAAATGCTATTCAATGATGAAAATAAAATTGAACTAAATTAACAAGTGCATACTTTAAAGCATAAATATTACGTTAAATAAGTATTATAGAGTCTTCCATGTTAGGTAGGAAATTATGGAGAATTCTAGAGAATCTCTCCCTACCGTAGGATCAAGTCAATCTCAAACGTCCATTGAGGAGGTGGGATGCTATAAATAGATGTAGAATCCTCATTTGTAAATCATCCAAGAGTTGTAGGCTTTCAAGCATATCAACAAGCTTTCTCTCAAAGTTCTTTCCTTTCTTCTTTGTTTCCTTGCCAATCCTTTCCCACATTAGCACGAGTTTGAGTGAGGCTGACTTAGCTATAGCGAGGGGCGAAAAAGAGCTAAGGTTGCACGAGGCTTATTGAGAGATTAAGTCTGTGACAGTTGGTATCAGAGCCAGTAAAGACGTCAATATCGTGCACGTGTCTTGTAGGAATGGCCGGGAACTCGAACGAGTCAACTGTTGCTGAGGAACGTGGGAGGGAAGCTGCACCCACCAACCCGAAGAAGAAGAGAGACCAAAGTAAGGCCCATGAGGCCGCTTCCTTAGAACCGATGGTGGCAGAGTTTGGAGAGAGGGTCCAGCACGACTTCAAGACGTTGGAGGACCATGTCTTGGAGCAAGTTGACACACTCAAAGGAAATACCGAAGAGACCAACAACGAGGTGGAAGCTCGGTTCATACGACTAGAGGATATGATCCAAGCCGTATGTGAAAGCATCGAGGGGATGCGGGAGGACTTGACGCTCTGCAAGAGAGCCGCCGTTAGCTGGTGTGCTAACAATGTCTCCACCCCGAGGGTCGAGTGCCCCAATCCGCAAGGGTTCAACGGGACAAGGGACGCCAAGGAAGTCAAAAACTACCTATGGCGGATGGAGCAATACTTCGAGGGAATCGACCTTAACGACGAGGCCGCAAGGTAAAGACCTCTGCCTTATATCTTTCTGATACTGCTATGTTATGGTGGCGTAGGAAACAGGCCGACATTGAGCGAGGGGCTTGTCGGTTAGATACGTGGGATGAGTTCAAGAAAGAACTCAAGATGCACTTCTATCCCGAGAATGTGATCTACGAGGCTCGCAAGAAATTGCGGGAGTTGAAGCAACGGGGTATTATGAGGGACTATGTGAAAGAATTCATAACCATTATGCTTCAAATTCCCAATATGTCCGAAGAAGATCTCTTGTTCTATTTCATTGACAGACTACAAGGATGGGCCAAGCAAGAGATGCATCGTCAGGACATTAGAACGGTTGATGAGGCTATTGCCATTGCCGAGTCACTTGTCGACTTTCAACCCTACTCCCACACCAATGCGGCGAAGAACAAGGATAAGTATCCAGCCAGAGGTGGGGGAGAACAGTGGGAGAATAACCAAGGTAACCGAGACCGTGATCACTGAAGGCCACAAGCTAAAGAGGGGGATCGAGATCGACGTCCGGGTCGAAGGGACTACGAAGAGAAGAAAAAGGCCTTCGTTCCGAAAGGAGGATGCTTCTTGTGTAAAGGGTCACATCCGATGAGTAGTTGTCCAAAACTTGGTTCATTGTCCGCCATCGTCAAGACACAGAGTCTCAAGCAGAGATGTGGTCACTCCAAGTTCTAAACGCTTTGAAGGCCAAGTCATTGACACCAACACCGAGTAATGGGCTCATGTATGTGGAAGCGGTGATCAACGAGAAGCCGACAAGAGCTATGGTGGACACAGGGGCTACCCACAACTTCGTGTCTAAAGATGAAGCCAACCGTTTGGGCCTGAAGTACACTGAGAGCACAGGATGGCTCAAAACGGTAAATGCACAAGCGACACCACTCTATGGCGTGGCACGAGGGGTCGAGCTACGCTTAGGCACTTGGAAGGGCCGAGTGAACTTTTCCGTCATTCCCATGGATGACTTCAAGGTTATTTTGGGGTTGGATTTTATCCGACAGGTAATCGTTTTCCCTATGCCTTCCTTTAGTTCCGTTTGCATCTTGGAGAAAGGGTCTCCTTGCATGATCCCCACGGTCGAGGCACAGAAAGAGCAAGGTCGAGATGCCACATAACTCTCGGCCATACAACTTGGTAAAGGCATCAAGAAATGGGACATTACTTACTTGGCCATGCTAAAGGAAGATGACGAGATCGAGAAAACGGATGACCTACCATTGATCATCTGTGAAGTCTTAGAGGAGAACAAGGACGTAATGTCGCCCGAGTTACCAAATAAACTTCCACCAAGGCATGAGATGGATCACAAGATCGAGTTGGAACCCGGTGCCAAGCCGCTTGCCCTGGCACCCTACCAAATGGCCTCACCCGAACTTGAGGAACTTCGAAGGCAAATCAAGGAGCTAGTCAATATGGGAATGATTCGACCTTCGAAGGCACCGTATGGCGCACTGGTACTCTTCCAAAAGAATCACGATGGGTCATTGTGCATGTACGTCGATTATCGGGCACTTAACAAGGTAACCATTAAAAATCGCTACCTAATCCCTTTGATTGCTGATTTATTTGACAGACTTGGAGGAGCCAAGGTGTACACGAAGATGGACTTGCAAAAAGGATACTACCAAGTTCGAATAGCAGAAGGCGATGAGCCAAAGACCGCATACATCACCCGATACGGATTGTACGAGTGGTTGGTCATGCCCTTTGATCTAACCTATGCACCGGCAACGTTTTGCACGCTCATGAACAAACTCTTCCAACCGTACTTGGACTAGTTCATGGTGGTGTACTTGGACGATATCGTGGTATACAATAACTCCATTGGGGAATATGTAGACCACTTGAGGATTGTGTTCAAGATACTTCGAGAGAACGAGCTGTACATCAAGAAGGAAAAGTGCACGTTTTCCATCGAGGAAGTACACTTCCTTGGACATGTAATCGGCCACGGGAAGCTATTGATGGACGGGAGCAAAATCAAGGCCATAACCGAGTGGGAGCCGCCGACCAAGGTAAGTGAGATGAGGTCCTTCCTTGGTCTAGTAAATTATTATCGTTGGTTTATACAGGGTTACTCAACACGAGCATCACCATTGACGGACCTACTTAAGAAGGGAAATACGTGGGAGTGGTCCGAACAATGTCAAGAGGCCTTTGAGGACTTGAAGGCAGCAGTTAGCCAAGAACCTGTCTTGGTCCTACCTGACTTTACCAAGCCATTCGAGGTGCACTCTGATGCATCCGACTTCGCTATCGAGGGAGTACTAATGCAAGAGGGGCATCCGATAGCATTTGAGAGCTGCAAGCTGAATGACACCGAGAGGCAGTACACGGTGCAAGAGAAAGAGATGACGGTCATCATCCATTGCTTACGGGTATGGAGACATTATTTACTCGGCGCGTACTTCACCATCAAGACCGACAACGTGGCGACGAGTTATTTTCAGACTCAGAAGAAGTTGTCACTAAAACAAGCTAGGTGGCAGGACTTCCTAGTCGAGTTCGACTACACGTTGGAATACAAGTCAGGCAAAGTCAACGTCGTAGCCGATGCCTTAAGTTGAAAGACAGAGCTTGACGCGATCGCTCTAGCCAAGGGAACCGTGTTGGAACGCATCAAGGAGGGCCTTGAGCAAGATACAC